AAATACTCAATAAACTTTTGTATATTTCATCATAATTTATGTATCTTTTATTTCTTTAATCAATATATATGTATACATATATATATATATAGATAAAAATATACTACATATTAGGTAAGAATGATCAATGTGATGATTATTAGCATTATGTGTAATAAATAATGATTACTATTACATGATATAAAATAAATAATTTAATTGTAAGTTTTAGAAGTTCTAAATTCATTTTTAATATAATTATAGTGCATAATTTTTCAATCAGATATTAAATTAATATAATGTCAACAAGTGTGACCAATTTTAAAAACCGGCTTCTAAATGATGACGTGTAAGAACAAAGCATCTGGATCAACTTAAATCGTATTTTAAATGTATATAAGAATGACAAATGAAATAAGAATTGTGACCTCATTTTTAATATAATTCAAATCTATTCATAAAAGGATTAAAGATTACTCACAAAATTCAACAAGCAAATAATCATATTGTTCGATAGCTTCTTCAAAATTATCTTTTGTAAGCACTAAAACCGAATCTTCGGTTTCAATTTTTGCAAAAGTGGAAGTAACGACACAAATTATTGCGAATATTAGAGTAAAAAACTTCATCTTTGAATACAGACAATATTAGTATTAAATGAGTTATGCCACGATATGTATAACAATTTTGATCGTATGAAAAAAATCAAGATTCTATCGTTACAATATTGAGACTGTAGTCACCGACACCATCCGTTGAGGAATACGAACAAAGTGACCAAATACCTACAATGATGCAGAAAACTATACAGTTGGTAGATCGTGGTTGATGCGTGGCATCACATTCATCGTGGGAGCTGCTGATTGGTTAAGAATCCAGTAGGATGTAATGTGAGATTCCTATACAAGGGTTAGAACATCATTTTATTTTTTAATGATATAATTTTATCACTTGATAAGAAAAATGAATATACTTTAAACACTGTTTCCATTTAAAGCAAAAAGTAATAATGCAATAATTGTAATATGTAGGTTATGAAATTCATAATAGTTCTCTTCGTTACAAAATGTATATTTATACAAAATATGTAATCATTAATTAATAAAAAATATTTTAATATTAAATACCTTTTTATTGAGTTTATGAATTTAATATTACATATATATATATATAAGATACATTTTTATTATCACTACTATAAGATTTATTGAATTAATATAATACACAAATCAAATTCAAATAAATATCTTTTTAATTAAAAAATTAATTTTACTTTTTTATGATATTTGTGTCATTACACACATTTAATTTTGAACAACTGAAATTTTACTCCCTACTTTAAAATATTGTAGTTACAATATACAATTCCTATTCAAGAAATAAATAACATTTTTTTTTAATAAAATATTTAAATAAAAAAAATAAAAAATATGAACAATATTTTTTGCTTAACATAATAATTATGAATTAGAATACATGAAATATTCTTTTTCTGTAATTAAATAGGAAATTGAATTTTTATAGTTTTTATACTTAAATTTTTAATTTGTAGTACAAAATATTTAATAAATTTGCATTGTAAAAGAGTCACAATATAATTTATTATTTACAAAGATATTAGTTTTGAAAATCAAACATAATGATGAAATATTAAAAAAATAGATCATATTTGTGTATAATAGTATATTACATAAGTACAATTAAAATATAACTGTCTGAGACAATAACTACGTATTTATTGTGAAATATTGTATTACATAAACTTTAAACTTTGTTATAAAAACACAATAATATTTCAATTAAACAGGTATATTTTAAGTTAATTATATGTAATAATATGCAATTATTTTTTAAATACAATTATAAATTAATTAAGTACCAATTTTTTTTTTAGCAATTTTATTAATGAGTTATTTTTTATTAATAGCATCATTACATTAAATATAAGAGAAACTAATTTAATCTTCTACTTTAATAAGACTATCTATATTAAGTATTATTTATTTGCTTTAGAAATGTCAAATAAAAAATATGCAGTGATTTAAAACAAGCAATTAAAATCATTATTATATAGTAGTGAATTTTTATTAATAAAAATGACGTATATATATATATAATTATATTTATATATATCTAAAAGAATCAAATGATGGTCATTTTCATTACTTTAAACACTGTTTCCATTTAAAGCAAAAAGTAATAATGCAATAATTGTAATATGTAGGTTATGAAATTCATAATAGTTCTCTTCGTTACAAAATGTATATTTATACAAAATATGTAATCATTAATTAATAAAAAATATTTTAATATTAAATACCTTTTTATTGAGTTTATGAATTTAATATTACATATATATATATATAAGATACATTTTTATTATCACTACTATAAGATTTATTGAATTAATATAATACACAAATCAAATTCAAATAAATATCTTTTTAATTAAAAAATTAATTTTACTTTTTTATGATATTTGTGTCATTACACACATTTAATTTTGAACAACTGAAATTTTACTCCCTACTTTAAAATATTGTAGTTACAATATACAATTCCTATTCAAGAAATAAATAACATTTTTTTTTAATAAAATATTTAAATAAAAAAAATAAAAAATATGAACAATATTTTTTGCTTAACATAATAATTATGAATTAGAATACATGAAATATTCTTTTTCTGTAATTAAATAGGAAATTGAATTTTTATAGTTTTTATACTTAAATTTTTAATTTGTAGTACAAAATATTTAATAAATTTGCATTGTAAAAGAGTCACAATATAATTTATTATTTACAAAGATATTAGTTTTGAAAATCAAACATAATGATGAAATATTAAAAAAATAGATCATATTTGTGTATAATAGTATATTACATAAGTACAATTAAAATATAACTGTCTGAGACAATAACTACGTATTTATTGTGAAATATTGTATTACATAAACTTTAAACTTTGTTATAAAAACACAATAATATTTCAATTAAACAGGTATATTTTAAGTTAATTATATGTAATAATATGCAATTATTTTTTAAATACAATTATAAATTAATTAAGTACCAATTTTTTTTTTAGCAATTTTATTAATGAGTTATTTTTTATTAATAGCATCATTACATTAAATATAAGAGAAACTAATTTAATCTTCTACTTTAATAAGACTATCTATATTAAGTATTATTTATTTGCTTTAGAAATGTCAAATAAAAAATATGCAGTGATTTAAAACAAGCAATTAAAATCATTATTATATAGTAGTGAATTTTTATTAATAAAAATGACGTTGCATACAGTGACATCTGAAATATTTACAGAAAATGAGAATTCTTATATAAAATGTAAAAATGACAGTAAGTTTAGTATTTCTTAGCTTTTGCAATATTGTGTTTATTACGTAGCATTTTTGTATAACAATGTAACAAGATATATAATTGTTTGTAGATGCAATATCCAGCTTTATTTTTAAATATCCATCTTACATGATTGAACCAAAGGATCTTCATAATATCATAACTCATGATGATGATGATGATATAGATATAGATAGGCAACAAGAAGGAAAATTATTAATAGGTATAAATTTGTGTATTGAGAATCGATTAGATATCAAAACACATGACTCAATTTAAAAAATTACATGTTAATATTTTTAGAACACTATATATCTACAGAATTACAATATGTTGGATTGCAAGTATGGCGAGGTGCATTGTTATTAGCTGATTATATTTTGTCCAATCCTGATTTATTCAAAGATAAGATAATTTTAGAATTAGGCGCTGGAGTTGGCTTAACTAGCATAGTAGCTAGTTTTCTAGCAGAAAAAGTAATTTGCACAGGTAATAAAATTTGTAGCGCAATATTATTACATTAAATATTATTCATATGTATTTAATATGAATATATTTCTTGATTCTTAGACATTGACATAAAGGGAATACTAAAATTAATACATAGAAATTTTGTACGGAATAAAACTTACATTAAATCCAAATTTGATATTGAAGAATTAAACTTTTTAAATTTAAAATGGCCCACATTTTATAAAGAAAGGATAAATGAAGCAACTGTTATTTTAGCTGCTGATGGTGAGTTCTAAGTTCATGTTTTTGAAATAAAAGTAATATACATATAATCGATAATTTCTTATGTTTATTACAGTAATTTATGATGAAATCATAACAGAAGGATTTGTTCAAACATTGGCAGAACTTTTAAATTCAAATACATTGAAAGTTGTTTATATTGCTTTAGAGAAAAGATATGTTTTTACTACAGTCAATATGGAAACTGCAGCTCCAATGTATGAAGAATTTTTAGGATGTATTGAAACAAAACAACTTAATTGGCATATTGAATATATTAAAATAGATTTTCCACAGTACTTCAAATATAATAGAGTAAAACAGATGGTTCTCATGAAAATAGAAAACAAATTAAGTAAATAATGTAATTTAGCATACAATAACATGTATTCATGGACATAAGAAAAATTTTAGACAGTATTAACAAATTATTTATACACATGGTTATAATAACTCTAGAACATATTTAAAGAAGATATTCATATAAACCTCATAAGAAAAGTTCTCAATTTCTAGTACTAACAATTTTATGAACGAAAGTAAAATATTTATGTCCTTTTTACTTTTCTTTAAATTATGGAAGAAGTATATATATATCATAAATTGCTACTTTATACAAAGGTATATTTTTCCTAGATAATGTCTTTAGCGATTTTTTGTATGTATGTGCATATGCACATGCGTATGTATTTATGTATATATATACATATCATATTCTACAATTATTCAAAAGAAAGACTACTCTTCAGGTAGAATAATTACTACTAAAATATCTTTTGTAATATATTATTATCCTAAAAAAAATAACAGAAAGTAAATTGATTAATTTTAAGTAAAAGCAATGAACACTTTAAATTATAATCCTTCTATGTTTATTGTATTTTTTTATTTACAACCTAGCATAAGTAGTAATATTAATGGACAGTGATCAAAGTCGTTCGAAGAGAACAGATTTCCTAGAAATTAATACTTGCTAAAAAATTAAACAAGATTTTACCTAGTTATTTATAAAAAAATGTCACGTACTACGTACGGGAATGTAAATGTTTCTTCGAACGATCATCGGCAGTAAAGTAGTGTATATTACACAGAGAATAAATTCATTGTAACTTACTAAATTTTGTCCATAAGTTTATCTGAGAGAACGACAATCGGCAAAAAACTTTGCTAAATAAAAAACATATAAACATCCAACACATTATAAACGAGTACAAATACTCAATGCAAAGGTCACGTATTGGCGACAGTCACTCTCTTATTCAGATTCTTTCTTACAAAGGCACTTTTTTATAACAGTTTATTCCTTACTTTGGGGTAAAACTTATAATTTACAGCCTCAGTTTATTAAATTGAGTTTACAAGAAATATCTGAAGTAATTGTACCAAGGTCCCATCTTTTCAAAGATTATGTACTATTTTTTTTTTAGATATTAAATTTATCCATTAATCTATAAGATTATAATTTAAATTAACATTACATAGGAGGTACAACTGTTTTATCATGTAAAAGAATAATCTATCATCTCTAATCATGAATATACAAGATTTATTCAGTGACCTTGATTTCCTTCAAAACGGTAGTTATATATAAATTTAACATATATTATTGTTTAATAATTTTAATTTTTCATTTTTCTCAGTTCTGATATTAAAATATTACGTTTCGCAAATTATGAAAATCATAAGTATATGAGGCAATATAATTTTCATACATTACTAAGCAAATAAAAAGTTCAGAAAATTGGATACATAAAAGCATCATTGACTAGACCAAGAAAGAACAGGTATATACTTTTTTACGAAATAAGATTTTCAGTTACGTATATTCAAAATAAATTTTTTCTTCATATTTAATTATTTTCAGTTAGAACTATACGAATTATTCATATTGTATTTATCTGAAAATTTGTCATTTGTTTCATTTTTACATTTAAAACTTTCAAATTTATAGAAAATTGATCTAGTAGCTAGAGCAATGATTATCAAGTATTAGCTATGTCAATCATTCTAATCGCAGTTATATTCTTTGCAACAAATACTGTACAAAAACGTACAATTAGCACAGCAACATATGTATAACGGTTATTAATAGCTATTTCCATTTTGGGGTGGTTTTTGGTTAGTATTACCACTATTCGGTACTGTATCTAAAATCAGCTTTCTTCTATGATATTCAGTAGTTGCACTTTCACTGGCCATTGATTTTCGGCGTAAAGGTGTTGTATTTTCTGATACTTGAACTATCGAATTTGTACTTTTACGCCGCGTTGGTATATCATTGGTTTGTCTTTGACCTATTTCATTTTGATTAGATATTCCATTGGATATTGGAACCATTGTAGAAGTTTTACTATTAGTACTATTTGTTACACAAACTGTAAAAGCAGTTTTATTTGCATTATTTTGTATAGACGCAAATGTTCCGCTACTTTTATTAATAGAACTTTGAATTGTACTATTATGATTTACAGTCTTGTTTGACGATGTAGTCATCATATTAGCATATTTGCTAATATTATTATGGATGGATGCGGTCGTTTTCACAGATTGCGAATTCGGCGAACTAAGCGGTAAAGAAGTTTTTCGTCTTGCATTAGAATTCGATCCATCACTGTTAAAATTTATTTTAGTACTTGTACTATTTTGTTTTGTAGCATCTGAAGATGCATGACACCCCGAGCTAAGCCATTTTTCAACTTGAGCTTCATGGGACTTTTGTAAAACTTTTCGAATATCACTATCTTCACCTCCTTCTTTCATAATTTCTTGTAATTTTTGAATTGTTTGATATAAAACCACAGGGCTAATTAGACCAAAATCAAACAAACTACACATATGTAAAACAAAATTACGATATAAATTTTTCATGAGCAATTCCTTTCCTTTAGTTTCTAGAAACATTTGGCAAGCCAATGGTATTTGGCAGTCTCCTACATAGCCATATTTCATGACATGTAAATTCCACATTTTCATAAGTTCTTTTTCCCCTTCATTCACATCTGTAAAATCATCAATCATCATCATTGTTTTTGTCTGTAACCACTTTGGATCGTTTTCTCCTTCGGAATCAATATCCATTTCTTTTGGATATATGGGTAAGCATGTAACAGTATGATGATACAACCTATAAAATTTTTTATAAGTCATGTACCTTACTACACAATAAACAATAATATTTATTCGAATTAATTGATGTACCTATTATGCCCCGTAATATAAGGTCTTTGGCTTTCATATTCATTTTCATCAAGCTCCAAAAATTCAGAAAGACTTGGTTTAGTTCTCTTTGGACGACATACTAAAATATTTGTTACACTTGTACGCCTCGTCGGTCCTGTTCTTGAAAACGCCATACTAGATGGTTGTGAAATTAATTCATGAGGACTACCAGCATAGGAGCCATCATAACATTCGTTTATTGCTACATCTATACGGGCACCTTGTGGAATTGGCTATTAAAATAGGCATAATTTACTTTATAATATTTTTATGCCTTAAAATTGTGACATATATGTTTAACCACTTACCACATATGTAAATGTAAATCGCGAATGACATAATTTTAAGTGCTTTAAAAGCGAATACAGTTTTCCACAATCTAATGAGCACCAAGGGCAATGTAAATCTTCACAAGCTTCTGTTTGTTGACGACTATTATTATTATACAGGAACTGATAAACTATTTGTTGTGTACCCATGATAGTGTCCGTCTTTTCACTAGCTGTTGTCATTCTTGAAGAATTAAGAGGACTAGGTGTTGGCAGTGTAGAATTATTATTGTTGTTGTTATTACTATTATTATTGTTGTTATTATTATTATTGGTACTATTATTATTATTTGTGGAAGAACGTTCTAGACCAGCTGAAATTATTGCATGAAATATTTTATTTTTTCTTATTCTGCTACTTTCTTTCTCTCTATGTGTGCGTGTATGTGTGCGCGCGCGCGCGCGCATGTGGAACTTACTATTTCCTGATCGATTTTCCTTATTATCACCACCTGGTATTGGATGAATTGGAGTTGGTCTATCAACTAAACCATTACTTGGTTCAGTTGTCCAATTAAGCCTAAATTTTAAAGTTGGTCCTTTGCTGAATACTTCGAAGGGACCACATTCTTTGATGTCAGGTACAGTCTCCCAAGAACTGTGCTTCTTCGGGCTAGATCGAATATTGGTTTGTACTTCTTGTAAACCTAATTCATAATCGCCGTCAGTCAACAAACATCGATTGTGTTTATCATACACTATGAGTTCAGAACCATACAATTTTATTTCTTCTCCTCCAGTTTTAATTGAACCCGTAGAGGATTTACGACGTTTTTGAGCTGGTTCTATATTATAAAAAAGAAAAGAAGAAATGTATACATACTACAAACACATATTATTTACAATAATTTATGGTGTATATCTTTACTAACCATCTAAATCACAGTTATGCATAAGGCAGCCAGTATTAGACATACAATATACTCTAAGCAAAAGCATATAAGTCTTGGCTACATGACCATTATTTAAACTGAAAGATTCATTAGGTATAGATATAGTAGGTGCTTTTGGAGGGGGTTGATTTTCACAAGGATTAATTGGAACTTCACTTGTACCCACAGAAACCTAAAATAAAAAATGGTTACTTATTTGGTAATAATTACCGATCTTATTTATTTATTGTTTTAATTAATTAAAGAATTCAAGAAATGCTATTTACCTGCATAATTGGTGAGCTCACATCTTTCCGTTTTTTGTGACATATTTTTAATAATAATGTTTCTACTTTGACAGGATCCTGAGGTGTTTCTACTGTAATGTAAAAATGTAATTATAAGAAAAGGTAATATTTGCTAATTATATCTTAAATACCTTAAATACTAATTATACGAAATAAAAATTATTTTTGACACCAAGATTTAAATAGAGATATTTATATGCAATTACCTTTTTTATCATAAAAACCTAGAAAAGTAAGAGTCATATATCCACGAACACCTGGATTTTGTTCTTGATTATTTTTTGACATTAATTTCTCCAATATCAAGTCAATTTTAAACCCCCGCCGAGATTTATGGCTTCTGGACATACGTTGCCTCATGTAAGTTAAATTTCTATATAGAAATATTGGCTAAAAAGAATTGCATAAAATGCTTTATATAATCATATTTCTGTTAGTTTATATAAACAAAACTATAAAGTACATAAAATATAATATTTAACTCAATTTTAAAATTAAAATATAAATGAACTTTATAAGATAATAAATTTGTATACCTACCATTCTCACTTATTAAAAACAAATATAAAAAGTTTCAAAATATTTTTATAGTTTTGATTACATTGCAGAAATGTTCACAAGCACTCTATTGTAGAATTTAATTTCTTTTATTGTAACCCAAGAAAATTTCACTAAACTGCGGGTACAAAAAAATTGTACCAAATACACTTTCATTCACTTTATTTGTCTACAAATATTTACTGTCTCACTTTCATCTAACATTTTGTACTTTTTTAATATTATTAAATATTAAAATATTCAGTTAACACTTTGAGCAGAAATTAAACTATAAATAATTAATAATTAAAATAAAATATAAAATACGGATAGATTTATTTTATTTTTACTCACTGAAATTTGGTTTCTTGTGCGTAGAAATCGATAAATCTGAGTTGGCTCTGAAAAAGCAATAAATAAATTTATTATGAAAATTATGAAATTATGAAAACAAAAATAAAGATATATAATTTAAACATTTTTAAATTTTAGTAAATTAAACAAAAAGGAAATGTAGTTCAATAGAGTTCCTCTAGATGGCACAGAGGTTGATGTCTTTCTCAAAAGTAAAATGATACTTATAAAGGTTTAAAAAGATAAATGTTAGAGTCACAAGCAATGATCTTTCTAAAGTCAATGGGAAATGATGAAGAGGTTATTCTCATTCTTATATGAGAAGCCTGCACAAATCTTATACTTGTTACAATTTAAAGCAGGTTAAACCTTTCTGATCCCATTTTATTTTAAAATGAAGAGAATTTTTTATATTTTGTTTATTAAAATTTGTTTTAATTCAGTTAATTTTATATGTGTATGTATACATAGGTACAAATTTGTAAATTATGCAAATATTCTAAGCCAAAATTAATTTGTTTACTATGTATTACAATTAATTATCTTACTAATACAAAAAAAGTTTAATTTCTTCCACTTCACATACTACTATACATAAATAATACTATATTAATTAAACCAATTAAAGAATAGTTGAAATATATAATAGTTTTCTGCAGATACAAATAAAGACACTTATTAGTCAAATAAATATCAAAATATTATTATAATGTTAAGGAACCAATTGTAGTATACATTTAAAATTTGAACTTAGTGTTACATACACTTTCTTCATTTGATTACCATGATTGATTTAATTTTTAAAATCGAGCATTAATTTCAACATAGTAAAAGAATGACAGGTGTCCACGAGTTGAAGTAAAGGAGGGAACGGAGTGTACCGACGCGCGGCTCGGCGCTCGGTACGTTCTTAGCAAATGGGGTTATGTATGATCATTTTTAACATTCATAACGAATATTTAAAAGATAGTAATTATTGATTATTCATATATTATAAATTTTAAAATTAATTAATTTTAGAGTCATACAAATACATGAAAAACAAAAATAATAACTGAAAGTTCTTACTTTCGAAGGCCTGTAGGAATAGCTCATGGTCTGCTTGTATTTGATCCATTCGAGGACCTTTCTGTCCATCCACTTCTTTTTCCCGCTTTTTCGGCGGCATTTTCACGCAATTCGTTGTCAAATTTCCTACGAAAACTCACTTTCGTCACGTGAAAATCCAATGACAACACCCGCCCCGCGCGAAATCTACGGCGCTTAGCCTGCAACTAAAGCGCACTCTTATATCGTTATTAATAACTAAACTAACCAATCATTTATTACAAATATCCCGCGAAATATAAATAATTTGTTGTAATTATGTATAAATATATGTCTTTATATCAGTTGAAAATAAATTGAGATTATAATAAATTTCCTTTTAACAATATATTATATTATTCTGCAACAATATTTTTAATTTAAATATAAACATTAGAGTGAATAAAGTATAAATAAAATTTACATAAGTTTATTAATACATAGTGCTGATTTTATTATATTTTTCATTTGTTAGGGTAGATATAAAATAATGCTTATGCATTCCTATGTTCTTTTATAAATTTTGTTAATTATATAATTTATAAATAACAAAATTAAATACAAGTTCACTTATATTAAAAAAAACATATGTCATAATACTGTATAATATAATATTACACATATATTATAAAATATGATATCAGAAAATAATTATATATATTTTTATTTATTTATTTATTGTATACATATTATATCACATTAGAATTTTTAGGATTGCTATTGAAAGAATTTTATGAAATTATGAAATGTGAAATCATTAACTTTTCACTTGTACATGATGGGTTATTTAAGAAATGCTCATAGAATAAATAAATTTATCAATTTAAATCTACATATATTTTACAATATGAGTAAACAATACATTATTTAATAAATAAATTATATATAAATTAGTTGATAGAATTACATTCATACATATTTTATTTTCATTTACTGAGAAAAAATATTTATTCGTAAAAAAAAGATATAATGTATGATTTTACTGAAATAGTTAAAGCATTGGAAAGAAAAGTACAAAAGTACAAAATTAAAACATAATTATTAAGATAAACAATGTTTATCATACATCATAAATTCATGTAATGTTTTAATTTTGTAATATTATTTAATATAAATATAGATATTATTACCATCCAAAAAATTAGTTATATATTTTTCGGTAAAATTTTGTAAGGTTGGTCAAATACGAAATATTTTACTAGAGATAAGGATGCTTTCATGCACATTGTATAAAACTATTTAGACGAAGGCAGTAAGAATAAATGAACTTTATGAACTTAATAACCTATTTTGATTTGTTTCAAAAATATCGAAGATAAAAAGAGAATTTTAAAACCTTAAACTTGTAATAATAGTGATACATGCTTTATATAATTGTAATACGAAATTTTATAGTGTGATATGAAAGAGAATAATTTATATAATAACATTCCATCTAATTTAACTTAAAACTTTAATATAATTTAGTTAGAGATACGATGAGGTATAACATATTTCGTACTATAAATATTCAGTTTGTGCAAAAACGATTCTTTAAAAAAGTGCAAGTAAGAGTTAGGTTTGCACCTAGTCCAACTGTGATATAATATAATTATTTATTTTATTTAATAAAATATAGTTTTATATAAAGTTACATGATATCAAAATATTTTCCTATAAAATAAGTGGTTCTAATATATACAAAAATTATTACAGGTTTATTACATGTGGGAAGTTTAAGAACTGCGTTATATAATTATTTATTTGCCCGTGCTAATAATGGTGCATTTATTTTACGAATTGAAGATACCGATCATACTAGAACTGAACCTGAAGCAGCAGAAAAAATTCAAAGTGATTTACTATGGTCTGGAATTATACCTGATGAAGATCCAATAAGAGGTGGACCTGTTGGGCCTTATGTACAATCCAAACGACTTGAAATATACAAGTATAATATCATATTTTACTTACGTAAGATTTAAATAGATTAATATTTAATTTCAAATAATTAATTTATTGTAACCAATTTCCATGTATTTATAGTTTAGATATAAATACAAAAAAATTAAATGAGAGCAATATATTCCAAGAAACATCTTATTCTAATAAAATTTTTATATAAATATATTATAAATTGACCAAACAATTGTCTTTAATAATATAATATTTGAAAATATAAATCTTAAAATATAAAATAATGTTAATATAATATTAAGAGAACTACAGTATTACTTTTAACAATATTTAAGAAAATAGATAAATTATATATAATGTCATATATATATTGCATATTCATATATTTTAAACAAAGTGAAATTAAAATGAAAACAAAGAAAACACAGGTAGAGAAAGTAAAAATATACAAATCTATATCAAATACTACATGTTTCAAATATTTTAATATATTATTGAAAATTTTACATTAATTTCAAATATTAATATGAAAAAAGGTTATAAATTTTGAAAGTGTACAGTATTTATTAAAATGGGTAATGAATTATTAATTAATTTATATACTAAAATTAAATTTTTAGGATTCTAAATAATAAATTATAAATATTTGTATCTTATAGGATGATAAAGTATCGTTCTTTGTTTCTTTCTTTTTCCTATAAATTTTAATATAAAAATGAAAGAGATAAAGTCATTAATATAATTTACCAGAAATATTAAGAAAGCTGTAGAAGATGGCTTGCATCTTATAATATATTTACAATTACATTTTAGTATCAAGAATATCTTAACCTATGATATATTAAGGTATATGCTAAAAGTATATGTTAAAAAATAAGATAAAAACTGCTCTATATATTTTAGTAGATAATACATAATAATCAAAATTTATAGTCACTTTTCTTTTTGTATATGTATGTATACATATATATTAGTAAAAATTTTTATTTTAATTAGTATAAAGGATTTAATTTAATAAGATTGTTTAAAATAAAGTTTTCAAATATAATTTAAGAAATTATGTTTATATAATTCTTTACATGTTTTTTATAAAATGAATTTAAATTTGACTTATTTTAACAATAAGTGTTTTTTATTACAGGGAACAAGTGCTTAAACTTATAGACAATCAATCTGCATATTACTGTTTTTGTACAGAAAATAGGTTACAGTTATTACGGAAAGAAGCAATAAAATGTGGACAAGTGCCTAAATATGATAATAGATGTAGAAATTTAAGCAATAATGAAGTAAAAACAAAACTTGATAAAGGAGATCCTTTTTGTATTAGATTTAAGGTATAGAAAAATAGTATGATGTATCATGATTAACTCTACTTTCAAACATTTATGTGTAATTTTATAGTTATCTAGTGAAATAGAATGTTTTGATGATTTAATATATGGTGAAATAGAGCACGATGTTGCACAGAGAGAAGGAGATCCAATTATTATCAAAACAGATGGTTATCCAACTTACCATTTTGCAAATGTTGTTGATGATCATCTTATGGAAATATCTCATGTATTTCGAGGAATTGAGTGGCAAGTATCTACACCTAAGCACATAATGATGTATAAGTAAGTACAGATATAAAATTTTAAATAAAATTTATAAATTGTTTATCTGATATCACCTTTAAAATACTTTTTTTTTTATTTCAAAAAGTTATATTTCTAACTTAAAATAAAAGCAATTAAATTTTAAATTTTGTATAATAATATTATAAAAATACTTTTATTAATAACTACTTGTACTAGAATAATGTATAATAAAAAATAAAATGTGTTTGAAGTTAGAACATGTTATATTTTTAGATACAAGTGTTTTAGATAAAAGTAGTATTTAATACAATGAACAGTTACTTCATTTAAAGGAAACAGTATAAATTATTTTAATTATGTAACAAGCATGGTTTTATTTACTATCAAATAAGATTTATTTGTAGTTGGAAATATTCAACATAAATAGAAATATGTACGTATATAAAATTAAAACATAAAAATGTATATGTATAATATATAATGATAGGATTTTTTTACATAAATTACACACATATGTGCACATATATACATTTTGTATATATTTTACGAACAGTATACTGATATACATTTTATTAAATATTTAGATATAATTAATCACAATTGTGTTATAAAATTTAGTAGCAGTTGTTTCTAAAGTTATTAAAGTTATTGTTTAATAGATAATTTTTTATATGCAAAGATAAAATTCCATGAATAAGTATAATTATAATTATTACAGAGCATTTAATTGGACTCCACCTATATATGGACATTTACCTTTAATATTAAATTCTAATGGAACAAAATTATCAAAAAGGCAAAAAGATATAAACATTGAGTCTTTTAGAAAAGAAGGAATCTTTCCATTGGCAGTCTTAAATTATGTTATTCATGCTGGTGGTGGTTTTGATAACAAAGGAGGTGCTCTTTATATTGACAGTTATGAAGAATTGATTAAACAAGTAAGTATATATTTTTACATTACATTTTTCTTTTAATGTATTGATAATTTTATATGTATATATACACACACATAAAGACACGCGCGCGCGCACACACACTAACACATACATACATACATACATATCTTTCCCATTATTTATTTTGTTTCTTTATAATTGTTTCAGTTTAATGTCTCTAAAATAAAAGTAAGTTCTAATAAACTTTTACCTTCAAGGTTATTAGAATTTAACAAGTTAGAAATTGCAAAATTATTAACAAATGAAAAAAACAACAAATTTTTAGTTGAAAGAATTAGAAAAATAATCATGGAAGCATTTTCAAATAAGTATGTATAATTTGTGTAATAATAATTTTACTTTTTCTTTTTTTATTTAATGTTTTTAAAACATTAAATGCTATTTTAGGTATTTTAATGGAAACTTACAATTAGATGAATATCACATTATTTCTATATTAAAATGGGCACAGAGTAGAATATCAAAATTAAGTGATTTAGTGTCTCCAGATTTAACCTTCTTGTGGTTTATTCCAAATATGCCATTAGATAATACTTACTTAGAACATTTAGGTATAATTTTCATTTATTAAATATTTCATTTAATGAAACTTATTAATTTTTATATAAAGTTCATATTATTCTTTTTTACAGATGCACTGAAAATAATGAGTATGAAATTGGTTGAAACTGATATTCAGAATTTTAATAAAACATGGATTAATAGTTACTTAAGAGAATTTGCTAAGGAACATGGAATTTCATTTCCAACATTGATGAAAATATTACGTTTTATTCTTAGTGGTTTGAAAGTAAATATTAAATATTAGAATTCTCCTTGAAAATTATTTATGCTTTATGATACATGTTATTATATTTTCAGGATGGTCCACCAGTAGCTGAAATGGGAAAGATACTACAATGTTAAGAATAAAACGATATATTTCTTAAAAATAAAAACATGTTTATAAAATAAAAAAATTTATTTGTTAGTTTATAACCAATATTACATTTTGAAATTAATAATAATAATTTCAAATAGAATAAAAAATTTGAATATCTAGTCAATTCTATTATTTATGAGAACTTACTTGTGTACTTACTTGTATACTTGTGTTTTATGTATCTTTAAAAGTATTAAAATATAATTTTGTATACAATGGATTACATAAAGCATCCTAAACATTTCTCTAGCTATTCAATTTAAATATATTGTATTTTTATGATCATATTTATGATCATTATCTGATATTTTTATAATCATTTACGAAATGAAAATGATATAAACCCAAAAGAAAAAGTTTTATATTCCCGAACAGTAATTTATAATGCTGGATTATTACAAAATCATATATAATTTGTGTACAATAAATTAAATTAAATTATTTACATAAAGGCATTTTGTAATACGTGTTAGTATTTATATTTTTTTTTTATAATTACCAAATATGAGCTTTTTAAAAATAATATTAATACACTTGATTATAAATATTAATATAAATCATTAAAGTACTATGTTAGAAATGTATATTAATAACAACCCATTGGGATTGTTGATTGTTACTTTATTATATTAATAAAAATTGTTATAACTATTTTATTCGTACAAACATATTATAATTAAATTAAATTCTACGTGTTGTAAAATTTCATTTGTTTGAATATAGTAAAATAAAGCGATATTAAAGTAGGAGCTTAATAAACTAAATTTATTTCACTTATTAAAATCATATTCTCAAACTTTACTTTTTATATGAGTTATTTATTATTCCATATTATATGAATACAATTCCTTTCTATATAGTGTCTAGTTATTGCTTAATAATTATTAAATTATTAATTAAATAAATAATTATTGAAAGTACTTAAACATGTAATATACTTATTAACTTATTACTATTACTATAAAACTTTATAACAAAAAGAATGAAATTGTAAGAGGTTTAAAATCTTCCTTAACATAGTCACAATGTAAAATATTGAAGTATATATTAAATCATTTAGCTAATGCTTTTACCTATATAATTTATAATTTATTTAAAATTATATTATGCCAAATGACTTTTATAGTGTTTTATAATCATAAAATTCACTTATACATAAGACTCGTTACATCAACAAATATAATGAATTTTGGAAGGCAGATTGAAAAGAAGAGAATCACTTTTTTTTAGTCAAGTTGTTTGACAGTTTTTAAATAAAATCTTTTTAAGTAAGTAAATTACTATCATTTGGTAAATTTGAATCTGTTAATAAAGATACTTAACATTCCTTGTGTATATTACACTTACTGAAAATATTAAAATACTATCGAAATATTATTATATAGAATAGAACAATAAAATAGTGTTATGTTATAATATAAAAGATTCTTAACAACTTCAAGAAATTATACCAGAAACCATTAAGATTATAGTTCCTAGTTAGATCAGTGGTAAGATGTCTTGAAATACAATCTTTAAATATCTTATATAAAGATAATTAAATTAACAAATACAACACAAAATTTATTATAACTCATAAATAGAAATATACAAAATATACATTTATATGAACTTTTTATTGCTTCTAGCTATAAAATAAATTTCTAAAGTCTCACATATTAAAGGACACTGTAAATTGATTCTCATTCAAACAATTTTTAATAATTTGACAATAACGTTTATTAAAGGTGCATAAATCATTTTATATTAAGAGAAATATTATACATGTAGTTTATATCTTTATATAAATTGTATTTTGTTTGTAAAAAGAATAATTATAATTTAATTCAATCTATATAATGAGTTTTTACAATAGCATAATACTAAATAAATAATATATAAATTTTTACATATCTCTAAACAGACAATAAAATGAATAAAGTATCGTTCAAGGAAAACTTTATCCATTTTAATTAATTATTTAGATTAGGGGATTCAGTTTAGGTGATTTTGACCTTGAATGCGTTATCAAAGCCAGTATTTTGAGTAACTTTTCCATATACATACACCCGTCACTCACCTTTAATTTCTGAGATATTTGCACAAAATAATCGTAATTATGCAGATTAGGGGATTTAGTTCCGATGATCTTCATTTTGACATATGTTATCAAGAACACACATCTGAGTAGTCTCTGAGTGGTTTTAACTGTCGATCATTATTGGTTAACACATTAAGCGCCATGTCAATCATTGACACTGAACTTTCCGTTTAGGCCACAACAGTTACCGGTAACTATACTTTTAGTACAGCTGCGTTAGTATATGTTGACTAATAATAAAAAATTTTAAAAAACTACATTCCATTAATAAATTTTAATTAATTTCGGAGTCATATTACGAATGTTCGGTGGTAATATTTCTTACCAAAAAAATATCTGATATAGCAGGCTAAACGGTAAACAAGACAAAAGAAACTTGGCATATTAAGAAAATATACGCATAAAATTCATAAGATTTACGTCTGGCTGTACTACGTTCCGCACCTCCTCTGTAGTTCTTTCTTATAAACTGTTTCGTATTTCATTGATGATAATTGTGATGCGGAAGATCAGTAATAGAAATAAACAATTGGTTCAACGTTAAATGAATACAAATTTTTGTTAATAATTTTTTACTGAACAATGAGCAACTGTTAAAATATTTTGGAAGTCATTTGAAAGGATATCCTTGACAACATACAAGGTCTAGGTCATCGAACTTTAATTCTCTAAATTAAATAATTACCTTCTTTTATTTATTTATCTATATACTTTCCTATTATTAATTAAGCAAGTCGATTTTATATATATTCGTTCAAATTATTTGATTTCAATTATTGTCAGTATATTCTATGAATAAGAAAGAAAAGAAAAAAAATGGTAAACAGTCTTATATAACAATAGATTATTTAAACTTTTACCAAAAGATTATAACAGAAAATACGAAATATAAATAGAACAGTAACAGACTTTCGATTACTGTAATCTAACATTTATATCTGTTTATGAAGTTATTAGTAAATAAAAGTTTGTTAAATATAATTTCTGTCAGTGGAATTAGTAGGTAGGACTTCTGTCAAAATAAGTACTTGATTATTTAGGAATCAAGACTATGTATTTTATTTACAGGCAAACAAGCAAGTTAATGATCGTCTTTCTTTCATTAACGATTCTTTTATTTAACACAAGTCATTAAAATATTGTTACGAGCATGTACTTAGATTTTTCTCATTTGCACATGAGCACATGAGCTTATACAAATGTCACAGCAGAATTCTTGTTTTTACACGATAATCTGATGAGTGTGTGCAGCGATTATATTTGTGTGCGTATATGTGTATGTTTTCGGCTTAAGCAGTACTGCTTTTGGAGAATCATCCTATATAAATTGGAACTACTGTAGTCAATGTTATGCTTAGACCTAGTTTTTATGCCATTAATTAAAGCAGAAGTAGTAGAAGAATCATTTGCATGGGTAAGGATCATGTTGTTTAAAAACAGAAGATGCCAAGCGATTTACGCCAGGAGCCACGTGGTTGACGTCGGAACCATGTGTTGATGCCGGGCCACGTGGTTAACGCCAGGGCCACGTGGTTGACGCCGAGGCCACGAGGCCACGTGGTTGACGTTAAGGCCACGTGGTTAACACCGAGACCACGTGATTGATCCGGGGCCATGGCATTTCGGTATAATTATAATTTAAAGTTAGAAGTAAGAAAGTAACTAAGAAATTTTTTAAAGGACAAATTAAAAATATTTTTGTGATTTATAATACCAGTAAAATATAGTAGTATGAATTTGATAAGCATAGTGTGGTACAAAATAATTGTCGAAAAAGTTGTTCAAAATAATGCTCTTTACAACTATTCACCGCTCCCCAGAAATCTCGCAGTACGGCACAAGGGAAGACGGGATTCTTGTTCTTTTTACTTGTCTCCGTTTTTAACACTTTCTTAGTTAAATGTTTAGGCTGACATGGTAGTAAGGATTTCCGTACTTATTGAAGTTATAAATCATGACTTCATTTCGATATACAAATCATGGATTGTGGTGTATGGCTGACTGGTCTTTAAGTCAGTGGTGTATAGTAAATACACTCTAAAATGTTTTTGTGGTAAAAGCTTACTTTAGTGACTTTGCTTAAAATTAATTTATTTTTTTCTGGTTTCTGCAAACAAACCTGTATTTTAGCATTAATAAGAATTATAAATCAGAGAAGTTTTAAAAAGTAATATGCTTTTGTTAGTCTTTTGACAAACAACGTTTGAAAAAACTGCAGAATACGTGAACGAATCCCGATAATTTTGAAGTCTATTATATGGGATGAAATTGCTAACAACTTTTATTTGAAATTATTTTGTTGGTTGCTTGACTTTTTGACTTTTTTTAATTTGTTGAGCTCGCTTGACTTTTACCGAACCTGACCTGATCCCGTAATCTCGGTTGCTCGACATCGTTAGTCTGTACTTAACATAAATTGTCGAGTAGCGAGTGAAGCGGCGAATCATACACATTATGCATGTGATATACGTATAAACAAAATTCAATATATTGTAGCAAAAGTTTTTTGCTAATCTCTCGGAAATTATGAAGCATTTCAGACCAGTGTCATTATAATTTTTAAGTTTCATTCATTATTACAGTAAAAAGCAGAGCCATATAGAGTTTATCAAGGTGAATATCCATTGTTTTTTGATAGATACAATAAAATAACTGTTAGTTTATTAAAACAATGTATAAGGTGACAACAATTGTTCTTTATTTAAATGCAAATATGTTTAAAAGTGTACTTAATTCAAAATATAACATGGTTTTACCCTTATTACTACAAAACTGTTTCGCTAATAGAATGTTTCTACATTATGTTGAAGTTTTTTAAGTAAATAAAACTTCAAAATGTCCTTTAAATTATACATATTTCTTCAATTCTTTTTATCATATAATATATGCATTATGACTATTACA